TTAAATATTTTTCTTAGATCACTTCAACTCCGAAAATTTGTAAAAAGCTAGAGACACATCTTTTAACCTCCAGTAAACGATGTTAAGAAAGTAGTGCGTACAACGCAGACAAGAATGTGATAATTAATAAAACTTTAATGTGATTTCTTACATACGTTTGGCAAAATATCTTAGCATAGTTTTTTTGAAAAATATTTTAAAAGCATTGTAGACATGATTCTTAGAAATATTCCAGAATCACGGGTAAATATATGTATGTACGTAGATAAATAATAACGAAGGCTATATTCATCACAAGATATTGAAAACAAAATCCAAGGAAAATAAAAATCAATAATGTGGAAATAGAATGGGATGACAATGTTAAATATTTAGGTCTAATTTTCGATAGAAGATATACTTGGTTAGAGTATATAACAGTCAAGCTAGTTTGAGAGATAACTCTAAATCCTCTGAAACCATTAACACAAGTAAAGTTGAGTATAAAAAATAAACTTCTACTTTATAAGCAAATAGATTAGGTTCGGTGTTACTTATGGCAGTGTTACTTATGACAATACTGTTCACCCACCTTTAGAAAATTCCAAATTTATCAGAACATATACTAACAGTTCCATGGTATATCAGAATGAAGACAAACACAAAGACTTAAGAGTCGAGAGTGTGCTAAAGTATATCAAAACAAGTGCACTGAAATTGTTTGATTATGAAGAGAATTGCACTCTCCCGAATCAAATGCACTCTATATTCCGTCAGGAAGACATTCCGTGCTTCAAAGTTTATCTTTTTAAAATCATCTGAATGAGTTATTATCAGAATTCAACCGAGCTCTTATTACAAGGGATCATCCACTGCAATAAAGCGGATCATCTACGTGGTCAGAGACGCTATGTAGTAAAAGTGCTTTACCCACTAACTCGCTTTTGATCCAGCCACAGAACAAAGAAGAAAAAATGATAACTTAGTTTAAAAAACAAACATCGTTTTTGTGGTTAGATATTGAAAACTCCTTGTATGGGGTAATTCAGGAAAGTTTGAGAGACCATGTTTCGATAAAAGTATTAACAATTCCACATAGAGATATCTATTGTCAATTAGTTTATTCTGATGCCTTCAATCTACCAGTTGGGAGTTTAGCTGTTATCTTCTTTTTAATTCAATCTGGTATCCCTATTAAACGTTATCATATTCAAGAAGTAAAAAGGATGTCATAAGTCTATCTATTTCTGCAGATACAGAATATACAGAATATATATATTTCAATATATAGTAAATACATAGTATAGAATATAGTATTTACTGATGTATTTCTCCTCTCTCCATCATAATAAATCTTAGTCTTAGTCATAGTCCAAAATACGGTGGAATACGCAACCGTTCAGTTTTATTTAGAATTTTTTTTTAAAGTACGTTTTCAATGTTCAGATATATTAGTTATATATAAACAAAAACATAATATATTGAGTGTAGTTAGAGTCAAAAACAAAGGGCCTTCAATGTGGTCATTAGAATGGCTTTGAAATATTTAGTAAGCATTGTGCGAAGTATGGAGGTCTGAACTCACAGTATTAAAAGACATTCAAAAATGTGTTTAAAGGAATCACATAAGAACTTTCAAGTCGACTGAATATTGAGAGAGATAAGTAAATGTCATATAATGTAGAATATTAGGAGCACTGAATTTCAGATAAATATGGTTGTTAAATGATATTTTATTATCTCTTAGGATTCTGAAAAAAGTTATATTAAAGAGTTATAAATAAGTACATATTATCAAGATGTTATTGAGGAGACTAGTGTCATTGTCATATAAGTTTATTTTGAAACTTGACCAATCAAATAAAAATTTTCAATTAAATAGGTTGAAATGTATAAATTACATGAATATTAAGCTATAATTGGTCAGTTGCTAATGTTATTTCACTTCGAAAATGTTAAAGCAATTGTTATTGATAATATCTTTGGGAATTTGCACTTGAAAAAGTTAAAAAGCTACTACCAATGTGTGACTGATTTATCTCGTTAACTCATTTTTGCTAAATTATAATAAAATTATTCGTTTTTGTCACTGATATTTGTGAATAGCACTTTATTTGCTCACACCAAAAATCATTACTGGTCTCAATGTCAATTGAAAGTAATCCAAGTTGCTGCTGCCAAAAGCGAAACCGCCAACGCAGTAATTTTGAGATATTAACGCATTAGCAGAGTCAAACGAACCGTCAGTGGATTTAGTAGATTTATTGGACTCAAATTAAATGAGATCGTTTGGCTGATTAAGCGCACGATTGTTGCATTAGTAAAACAACACTGCCAATGTTGCTGTGGGCGCAAATGCCTTGTAAACGTGATCTGAGCAGAAGATTTAGTTGAGGTAGCATTCGACTTAGATAAGCCGAAGACTCGAATACTCGAATACTCGAATTACAAACACTTAGACGATTCTGGTCTGTGAGCACTTGAAGCATTAAACTCAAAATGATTTATTGCTTAGGTAAATTAAACTTGATTTGATTCGGTTTTGTCTGCTATATGAGGTAACTGACTCACCTGTCCCTGATGTGGAAATGATATTGTAAATGTGCCATAACCGTCGGCAGTTGTCAATTTTTCATCTTCAGTAGCGTTTGAATTGCCCTCGACAATGAAATATTCCACCAGGCCATTAACACCGGCATCCTTGTCCAAAGCTTGTATGTTGCGAAATATTGTTGTGCCGACTGGAGTGCTCTGTAAAGAACGTAAGAACGTAAGTTTGCAGTAAATATTAATTTATTTTTATTTTCTATGGCATAAAAATAATGACAATAATGACAAGAAACTTGCTTTAAATGGCAGAGAATATGCAGAGAATATGGAAACACACAAGTTTAATCGCGAATGGCAGGGCTTGCCTAATACGTATCTTCTAGATATTCCTTATCATTTGTTTAGAACTATAAAATCTTAATGGAATTTATTAACATTAACATCAATTCTGTGTTTAAGTTCATTTTATGGTCGTCACATATCATAATTTTATGAGAATTTGTAAAAATCGATTGTCGATCTGCACTTTTTGTTTGAAAAAAAACTTGTCAACTCTCAAGTGAGAAGTATTCTTCTTAGATTGTATACTCACCTCTTTTGGACTTATATAAATTAAAAATTAATTAATTGTCAATAACTGTTAGTGTGATTAGCGATATATATAAAATACTATAGACTTGTGGAATTTTATAATATAAACAGTTGCAGATAAAGAATTAAGCTAGACGGTGGTGCTACAAATATGGATTCACATATATCACTTATGCATGCAATACGGAAAAATCAAGAATTTCTGAATAAAATTATGAACCAATAATTACATTTTAATTGGATAATTTTTTCTCTTGTCAAATATAGTTGTAAGTAAACCATTTACAGAAGTATCAACATAAAAACTAAGACATAACAAAAGAACTAGGTTGTCTGGTTTGTTTTAAATTAGCTCTTCTTATGAAATTTTACGAGTTCTGGGATTGGGATCCCCATGGAGCAAATAAGGTATAATTTCGACTTAGGATTTTGTTTTATTATGCATTTAAATATATATAGATATATGTCTGATTAATATGTAGGTTAATATGGGAAAATATTAATTAAATTTAAAAGCCTATAACAAGCTTCTTGGTCAATTCTTATAGTTCTCAGTTAATTACTTAGAGCTTAAAATTTTGATAACAGTCCTTTGAGCAAAGAACCATATTTAAATTTAGGTGTACTTCGGAAAAATCGGGTATGTAGGCTGCTTTGAAAAGCAACTTCTGCTGCCTGTTACAGGAGCTGTAACTGTATTATATTTAATAATTATTTCATTGGCCGACTTCAAGTATTTGTGAAAATAAAAAGAAAAAAGTATTCCCTTGAAATTAAATTTCATGTCTAAATTATAATATGGAGTGGCGTATCAAAACAGAATTTATTAAATAATTTATTTATTTTATTGAAAAGTATATTAAGTCAGAAGGAGGAATATGTTTAGAAAAAGTTATACCCGAAATAAAAAATATAGGGACGTGGGTTTGTATGTAAGTTGTTTTTTGAACACCTCTCTCTCTCATACATATATATGTATTAGATATACAGTATATTCATTTCATACTTAAAGGATTGCCTCTCATATTGACAGGTTGTAGATAGAGAATATAAAAACTAAGAAAATACTTTTAAGAATGTTTTATAATTTAATTCTAGTTTGCTGCGTTAAAAAAATGTTTAAAACAATTTTGTTATTTCAATTATGTGTTCCGTCTGTTTTCTAGGAAACTGCAAGTACTGATTTGGTAAAGAAAATTACTTTATAATTGCTCGCGGAGGGAATTGATGATTGCACCAAATACAAATGCCTCTGATACAGAAATTGTTTTTCAACAATGATACTCGTACTAATAAATTGCTGGAAATAGTTGATATTTC